TATATATATATATATATATAAATGAAGATATGATGAAGATATAATTCGTGCAAGAATTAACTAAGCAATGTCAGCACATGTAAATAGTGGAATTCCAAATATTAATTTTTATCATTGAAAAAACTTAATCGCTTGTGATAATTACACTAAGCAAATGAATATAAGTTGAGTGTTGTAATTCATATGTATTCTCACTTTAATTTGTGTCTGATACGATAAAATTATTTGATTTAATGTAAACATTAAGTACAAAAAGTTAAGTATATATATTTTTGTTTCGATCATTAGGGTCTTAGCTCGCAATAACGATTGCAGGCAAGCATAGCCTATGTTCGAGTTTAAGTTACATTGGACTAATTAGGCATGACATGACAACTAGGTCCAACATTTGGCATAAAGCTTACGTTTAAGAATCTGGTATATGGTAGCCTAAAGTTATTCTCTCTCTTCTAATGGTACAACCATCATCTTAAAAATAAGCTCCATAAAAAAAATCTCTTAAAATAGCAAAAAATACATAACACCCTCTCTCTCTTCTCTCATAGCAACCATCATCCTAGAAATTAGGTTCCATTTCCTTGAATAGTATCCGAAAAATCTCCCAATTTTTTTCTAAATTATTTCTCTTATTTTTTTCTCTGTATATTCAAATATATATACACCGTAGTAATTATATTATTTGTATATCACAGTGTATAATATATTAAAAAGTATATCAAAATTTCATTTTCCTTCTTTGTATAACACATTTCAGATTGAAAACTCAAGTTTCAAGACGACTCCACATCTGTATCATCATTGTATCCCGTGTATGTCTCGATGTACATCATGTGTATCTATGTATATCCATGAATATTTGTGTTATATACATGTGATATACACATGCGTCCATAAAAAATTTATGTTATATACATGATATACAAAGTGATATATACACACGTCCATAAACACCTCTGTGTGATATACACTGATGTACACGATATACACTTGTCGTAGTTGAATCTTTAGGTCTAATTTTTTTTTTTATCTAAAATCAGTTTAATCACTTCTAATCTTGCTCAAATTTTGTATATAGCCTCATCTAGGTGTTTTTAACCAATTTCAATTACCCACTCATTCTATCTAACAACAACCCAAAAAAAGAGAAGAAAAACAAAGTTGAACTCTATTTTTTTCTATTTTCTCTCTTAGTATTTGGTTATAATTTTCTCTGATGTAAGATCAACCTTACCTTTATCCCACTAATTTATTTATTTTTGTATAATTTGCAATAATTTTTGCTAAACCATGAGAGTGAAAGAGGAGAGATAGAAGAAGAAATATAAGGAGAGAAAGAGGAAAAAGACAAAGATACGTAGGTTATAAAGAGAGAA